TTAATTAAATTTATATATGACTAATTAAATACTATTAATATTTTTTCAATTTTCAATATTACATGCTATATATTATATATTAATACCTATTCTATTTCTTATATTTTTTCAAAAAACTTTTTATTAATACATTCTAAAGTTTTATTATTGTTAAATATCTTTATTTTTTTACTAATTATTATATTATTTATGATAATAGTCAATAAAAATTCTTCAAAAGTAAAAATTTAATAAAGAAAAAAAATCTTTAACAATAATAAAACTTTATAAATTACATATAAAATTTTTTTTAAAAAAATAAAACTAGTATTAAAATATATATAAATTTTATAATTTTTAATTATATAATTAAGAATTTAAAAATTGTCAAAGTTGAAATTTATAATAAAACACAATAAATAGACTTAAACTTTTGGAAGCAACTTTATATTAAAATATATTTTTTAACTTTTTTTGATTATCAAAAATTAAGTTTTTATGTAAAAAAAAATATAAGCAAGAAAAAAGAAGCAAAATTAACTCTTGAAATTATTTATATGTTGCTTTAAAAAAGTAATAAAACTTTATTAATATAGAAGTATAAAATTTCTTATAAACATCTTTTTTGTATATTGTTAGAAAATTAAACTTCTATTATAAATTAATATATTATTTATAAATATTTACTAAAATATATTGTATATAACTAATCTAATAATTTATTAAACAATATATAGAAAAAAATTTCATAATCAAGAATAATTAAGTTTTTTAAATAGTCAAGGGAAAAAGAATATCTCAATTAAATAAAATAGATTTTATAAATATAGATTTTTGAAAAAAGTTACTTTTTTTTTTTTTGTAGCTCACTTTATTCTTCTTTTCTTTTTTCAATATAACTTGTACAACTTACTGTTCAATTTATTTAATAGGATAATCAATAATGACTACTTGTAATATTAATATATAAACTAAAAGGATTTTTATCTAATGTTCAAAGGAATATCATATTATTTTCAAGATTAAACTTAGAGACTTTTTATATCTATACAAGTTAGTTATATCTGTTATAAAAGTTTAAATGTAATAGATACCACACTGCTAAAGTGTATATGTACTTATGTGTTCAAATAATTAGTAAAATCACAATCTGACCTGGCTACCGGTTATGCGCAAGATAAATAAAGGAATTTTTAAATCTTAAAATATATTGTTCTACTTGAGATCATATTCAAGAACGTATTTTAAATAATATTCTTAAGAATAGAGCAGTTATATGAATTCTATATATAATACATACGACTTTTTCTATAGAATTATAGAATTTCTGTGAATGAAAACAAAATGATTTATAAACTAAAGTATATTCATCTAGATACATTTAATATTTTATTACATGACCGATGAAACCGGTTTTGAGCAGCTCAGCCCGAGCAGATTCAAAGCTGGCTCCAATAAAATCTCTATAAAGGGTAAAATGAAAGGGTAAACATTCTTTATCAAGTGTAGTAATAGTAATGGAATGTGCTACAAAACTTATGATTGTCTCTTGCCGAGAGTCCAGATCGTACCCGAGATTTTACCTTAATGACTTGTTAAGAATTATTCCGTTTCCTGTGCGGAGGAATTTGACCGCAAAATATGCAGATGCTTCCTCATGGTATAACGGGCAAGTGTCAAAACAAAAAAAAAGAGATAAATTTCAAAAAATTATTTTCGCTCTAGCAGGAAAAAAAATTGACCATTCAAACAATGCGTATAAATACTTCAATTAACTATATACCACAATCTGCTCCATTGGAAAAATCCAATAGACAGATATTTTATTCACGAATCTGTCGTTATCTCCATGAACGACCGTGTCTAAATGCTATGATGGTTAATTGTGACTTAATTTTGTTATGTTTTATTCAATTAATCACAAACCTATTGTTCGAGTATGTTTCTCTCGAGGATGATGACCGCCTTTCATTTTCATCAAACTCACAATCCTACATTAAAATTGAAATAAATGAAAATAAGCATTAACTTGATTCGGCTGAAATCAAAAGAATTCATAATCTTAAAAAAAATGTGACGGACCTTCCCGTAATGATTTTGACTAGCACACCTATAACAACTTATTCTGATTTTTGAACTTCGTGATGGGGTTTGCAGCTTGTATTTTCTCCATGTGAGCTAAAGTAATGTAAATTATATTATACTGTTTTGAAATAAATGCTTTGTACAAATATATATATAAATATATATCCAATAAACCTACTTCATCGTTATCGGGGTACATAATGTTCTCGCAAACGCTTTCATTATGCTCCCGTGATCCGCAATTCTGACACCTGTTCGCCTTGAACCTTAGCTCCTATTCGTTTCCAGGATCCAGTTGCGCACATTTATTATAACAGAACAAATTACGCGTGTTAATTTCGAATGAACATTGATCATTATAATCAGAACCTGATAAGTAAAGGATGTGGAGGCATCCGATGTTTTATTATATTTGGAAGATCCGTTATTCGAAGAAACATCGGGTGACTCATAGACCGTCTTTATCGTCGTTGGTGTCGAATCAGGCGTTTTAAAATTGATCGGATTTATTAAATGAGTCTCCAATGCTGACGATATTATTCTTTTTTTTGAAGGTGTGCTCGTAGGTGTCCTAACGTCAGATACTGCTTTCACTTTCTTCTCTTTCGTCTCCTTAGAATTCGATTCATCATCAGTAGAATGTGTGTCTTGTAAATCAAATGTTAAAGGCGATTTACGTGAAATTAAATATTTCGATTCTCCATCAGATGGCGCGTTAGTATCCACATCTTTAACGTTAATAGAGACCTCATCTTCACTGTCAGACAATAATATAATTTCAGATTTGGTTGTTGGAGGTAGGTCTTCATCGTCATCTATAACTATAATTTCACACTCATTGTTGAACACTTTATTGGTATTATTCGCATCGTCAGGTATGCCTGATACTTTGGTCATCACTTGTTGCTTGCTATCACGTTCTCTTTAATAAGCTTCTTCTCCCAGTTCTCTATCTCTACTTCTTTCAGTTGCCTTC